TCGGTGACTCCTGTCTCCAGATGAGGGAGCCTCCTCTGGCCTGAGCTGTCTCCAGATGAGGGAGCCTCCTCTGGCCTGAGCTGTGTCCAGATGAGGGAGCCTCCTCTGGCCTGAGCTGTTTGGCTGTGTAATGAGCAGCAGGATGATATTTCCTCATTAAAGCTGCAGACTGACCAAACAGCAGCAGCCATCATGTCACACTGCAGCCCAATCTGGACCAGTACAGGCCGAGGTACAGGGTCTGGGTTGGGGACGGGGGGGGGGGTGGGACCATTCCCCCCCACCCCCTGGTGCACAGCAGCACTTTAAACTTTAACTCTTTTCCTTGGTGGCTCATGAATTAGTAAGATGGGCAGCGCTCCTGTGGGGGGGCTCAATAATTCAGCACAAATACACTCACAGCGAACACCAAAAGTTTACTGAGACAAAGGGGAGCAAACAAAGGGAAAAGGTGGATGGAGCAACTGGGGAGCCCCAGCCAGAAGACAGGGGATGATTTATTGATAAATATCACATCCCTCTTCCTGTTTTCTCCTCTTCTTCTTCTCCTTCCGGCTGATTTCTGCCTCCTGAGACTCAGGAATCAGTCTGAACTTCCCTTTTGATGGTCCATTAACAGACTTTGTCCAGCCGGAAGAAGCTCAGAGTGAGCGTTTGCTCTGAGCTCCTTCAACCAGCTGTGTGTCCTTTCTGGAATGAGCCTCCAGGAGCAGCTCTCCAGCTTCTGGAGGACGTCCCAAAGCTCCTCTGTACAAAAAAAAACATATTTTCTGGCTTTTTTCACACATCACCTAAAGAAATGGAAACACGTTTTGTGTCTTTGTGCCTAAAGATCCAGTTTAAACTTCTCTTTTGCTAAGCTGGCTCATCCCTTGAGTTAGGGGAAACACAGAAAATGCTCTGGAAATGAGAGAAAAAGCAGAGAAAAGCCCAAAGAAAATCTGAAAGAGCTTCAGAAGGCAGCAGGAGTGTTGTTTCCAGTTAAAGAAGGCCGGTCAGGTCTGTGTGTCTGACTGTGTATCAGGAGACTTGACCGTGGCTTTTCTTTGTCCTCAGTGTTCGTTCAGGCCAACAAGCTGCAGCAGCACATCTTCGCCGTGCACGGTCAGGAGGACAAGATCTACGACTGCTCGCAGTGTCCGCAGAAGTTCTTCTTCCAGACAGAGCTACAGGTAGGACCTCAGCTGTTACAGGGCTCCAGTAATCTGCTCCTCTGCTGTTTTTATTTCCTTTTCCGACCACGAGGGCTTTGCAGGCTTCTGTTAGCTTTCAGGTCATAGTGTCATTATCCACATAGTGGCTTCTAGGTACAGAGAAGTCTGTGTGTAGGTAACAAATACTGTGGATGGTTAAAGAAAAATATGTAAATATAACTATAGATATGAAAAGAGCTGAGAAAAAAGTGGTTTTAGAGTGATAAGTAATCTGGAGTTGGAATCTGAAAATAAACAGTACAGGTAATGACAGAGACAGTGTAGTGGGATGGAGGAAGATGTAGAAACAATCTAGTATTTCACTAGAACAAGCTGCAGAATGAGTTTTTACCAGCTTTTCTACAGATATTCACACATCTTTGTCATCTCTGGGAGCCACAAAATGGATCTCAGGGATTCTGATGATTGTAAGATACGAGGTTGAGTTTTGTGAAATGGCCTTTGGGACCTTGGGGAAGTGCTGCCTGCTCTGTGGTCAGATGGGACGGCTGCCGGTCAGCAGGAGGAGCTTAGAGCTGCCTGGCCTCTGGAGACCCTCAGTCTGTCCATGAGCTCCGGCTTCATCGGCTCATTTGGGGGTCTTTGCTTCCACAGCAGCCCTCACAACACATCCAGGCCGGTTCAGATCGAACTGAGTGTAAACCATCACGACCTGCTGGGCTTTGATTAGAGAGGTCGTAAAAGCTGGAGGAAAATAGCACATAAAGTCTCACAGAGCCTCGTCTCCCTTTCAGAGATTTGTGTTTCGCACACGTTGTCGTGACCACATTTGTTACATTATTTATAACATTATTTGGGTTCATTCATGCTGTTAGATGTTGAGAGCATTAATTAACCCCCAAAAACTCCTTATTGGATTTTAAAATATTTATAAAATCCAAGAATGGAGGAGCCAAACTAACAGACAGCTGAACTCCTCCATATTAAAGCTCCATTTAGCGCTCAGTTGGATTAAAGGTGGAAAGTTTTCACATGTTAAATCCTGCAAAAGTGTTGAATTATGTCAAATAAATTAACACAAAGCAGATGTAGTGAGTAGTTTAGATTAGCAGGTTTGTTTTTAGGGGATAATACTGCATTTTTCCCCATTAAGAACCAAAGAAAAGAGGCTTCTCATGTTAAAGTAGAGATGTTAGCAGCCTCAGAAACACATTATTCCATCCCTGTATCCAGCCTCGGCAGCCCCGGCCCCACACACTCCCTCAGACACATTAAGTGGCAGAGACATAGTGCCAGAGGTGGTGGGCATATGGCCGGCCAGTCCATTTAGCAGCAGGGCGACTGCTGGACCCTGACGGTTAATGTCCACACAGCCCTCCATCACAGCCCACTCCGCCCGCCGCCTCCTGACCGGTCGCAGCAGCAGCAGCGGTCAGCGGCCGGCTGGAAAAAGCCGTTTGCTGTTTGCTTTAGAGCCGGACGAGCCGGCCCACATCTGTCCAGCTGTAAAACCTGTCGGCCGTTTTGAGGGCCTGGTCTTAGCTGTAAAACACCTGGTTGACTAGTGCAGATGAAGGACCCCCCCCCTCCCTGTCTCACCTGGGTTGCATCCATCTTGTTACTGCGTGGAGGAAAACTTGCAGCCTGAGCCTGCCCTGCCACAGCTCCCCCCCACCCCCTCCACCCCCCCTGGGAGGGCTCTAAGTGGGCTAGACAGGGAGGCTGACTGGGGAGATGGAGGGCTGCAGCCGTGGAGGTTAATGCGGGTGCTCGCTGTACTCATGTGTGCCACTCTTGTGAGCGCCTGCGGAGAGACGTGGAGCGGGGAGATCTGTGTGTGGGTTTTAATGAGCTGGGGATGGATGGAAGAGGCTGGCCGGCCGGCTAGGAAAAGGCTGTGGCCTCTTTCGGGGCCTCGGAGGGGCCGCTGATGTCCGGCTAACGGAGCCGAGGGGGGCTGCTGGTCCTCCTCCTCCCCTCTGACTCCCTCCTCCAGCCCCACTTTCCAACTGCGCCCCCCTCCCGCCGCTTGCTTTCACATCTTCGCATCCTCCTCTAGCGCACGCACGCCACAGTTTTTCGCTTTTTCTCTCATCCTGTCTTCCTCCATCTCTGCTCCCCCCCCCCGACCGTCCCAGAAGAACCAGCCCCTATGCATATTTTAGCCCCTCTCCTCTCTTCCTCTCTTCTGTGCCTCTCCCCAGTGCCCCATAAATAGTGCAGATGTAAGCTGGTAAATAAGAGATGTTTTTAGTGTGTGTCTGCGTGTGTGTGTGTGTGTGTGTGTAAATAAGAAATGCTGTGGCCCTGATCAGTGCCGTCCTCCTGGATCTGCCTCTGCTCTTACTCCCAGACTTCACACACACTTTCTAGTTTCGGTTCCAGTCTCACTTCCATCCTCTCTCATAATTGCCGGCTTTGTGCTGAGCCGTTGTGAGGGGAAAAGTGAGCGAGAGGGCCACGTTTTTGCCCGTCTGCAGCGTTTAGAAAGCGCTTTGCCCACGACACGTCGTTACCCAGGTGAGGACAGGTGTCAGCCCACTGAGGTCCTGATGGCTCATGCCCCCCTCAGCCTCCAGGGGGAGCTGTTTTCTCCCCCGCAGTGCCTCCTCCCGTCCTTTCCCTCCATCTGTCAGTCTGCCAGTCCTCCCCAATCATCACCTCTCTGCCTCTGCGTCTGTGGGGCTGCAGCTTTTCCTTTAGCTGCGGTAAATATTTCAACGCTGTGAAACGGAGGAGTCTCCGGTCAGACGGATAAATGGATGGATGTGGGGGGTCGGTTTGTTTGTGTGTGGTTTTCCTCGGCAGGGTTTCTCCCTCAGCGCTGCACACACACACCTGAAAGGGACTCGACAATAAGACGTGTCAGACAGGATGAGGCCGTAATGTGACAGGAAACACTGAGGTTTGATTCAGACTCGAGAAGATTTAAAAACAGACGTCCTCAGAGCAGCTTTCTGCAGCTTCCAGGGTTTTCTGCTTTTCTCCTTTTCTGTCCTTGTAGCCGAGTGTTTTCAGAGGAACGTGTTTTTTTATCTCTTCAGCCTCTGAACTCCCCCCTAACCCCTAACTCAAGGGCTGAGCCAACGCTGTGTCCAATCAGCAGAGCAGCAGCTTAAAGTGGATCTTTAGACTCTTTGTCAGCAGCAGCCTGTCACAGAGACACATCATTTGTTCCATTTCTGTAGCTGATGGGAAAAAGGCCAAAGAAAAGCCAGTCTGACAGACAGGAAACAGGATTTCTGAGGATTCCCAAAGAGCTGCTGGCTGAAAACTGGGCAGATCTCAGCCTGGTGAGCAGTGAGGCCTTAAAACATCTGAGGAAACTGGACCAGTGGAGGACAGAAGAAGAAGAGCTGGGCCTGAAAAACTCTCTCCTGGAGACTCCTTAAAGAAGCTCTAGCAGATTAACTTTAAGCCGCTCTGAGTGAAACTATTTCTGCCTTATTTCTGTTTTTCCGGTTTCGTTAGCACCTTTCTGCCCCCGTTTCCTGTCACCTTTGCGGCGTGTTTCAGCCTCTTTCTAACGATCCGAGCTCCATATCAGTAATTAGTCACAGCTTGAACGCCAGCGGTTGCTCTTTGCCCGGAAAAGTGGAGGAAATGTGTCTTCAAACGTGTTTTTTTCCGGGCGCCGCCAGGCCAGAGTGAGCGTGAGCGGAGCTGTGTTTAGCAGTCTGTCTGTGAATAATGTTATCTGTTTTTGTCTGAGTCAAAGAGCCTCGCTGTCTCCCTCTGACTGAATTATGGAGAAGTGTGGATGTGGATGAACTGGCAATAAGGCTCCTGTGTGTGTTTGTGTGTGTATCTGTGTGTATCTGTGTGTGTTTGTGCATGTATCTGTGTGTGCCTGTGTTTATGTGTATCTGTGTTTTTCTGTGTGTGTGTGTGCCTGTGTGTGTGTGTTCTCTGTGATCCGTGTGTCCCTGGGCTCCGTGTGTAGGTGTGTGTGTG